CTCGACAAATGACAGGGTACTTTCACACAGCCAAAGCCAACACCGGAGAGATCAACGGATGCCAGACTCAAGCTACAGCACTTCTAGAACCTCGCCGCGAGGAGCCTAGCCATACTCGTCCTTAAACCCCCCTTTTTCCACAGGCTTGAACTGAGCTCGCCCCCTTAAACCCCCCTAAACCCTATAAACCCTAAACCCGAAACCCTCAACTCGAATTCCCGAACAGGCCAGGCTGGATGGCAACACAATGGGCCCTCGGAGTGCAGCCGAGTGGCTGCCCAGGTGGCACCTACCCAAGCACAGCTGCTTCAGAGAGCGTCGGTGGAGTAATTTAGGGGTTTATTGAATGAATCTGAGAAATCTGGATGTTGGATTGGCCCTGGATGTTGACGTTTCGCTGCACCTCACGCTTGGAGGAGGTTCTAAATGTGCAACCTGTGGATGTGAGGTTGGTTGGCGTGCTTGGAAGGAACAAGACCCTGGTAGAAGGCAGCCATCAGCTTGCGTCCTCGTGTCTAAGTCTTGAACCAAAGCACTCCGGTCCTGCACCCTTGAGCCCAAGGCGTGAACCCTACCCCCTATACCAGCCGTAACCCTCTCTCTGTGTCACAGGCATTCGAAGCGTCAAGCCTGGCTGCAGGACGCAGATGGTCCCACGTGATACTAAATTGTTAACATGATCGGAACGTGAAGCCCTAACCCTAAACCCCAAAACCCGATAGACCCTGAACCCCCTACACCCTCCCTAAACCCTAAACCCTACTCTAAGCCCTAAACCCTAAAACCCTATAGACCCTAAACCCCCCTACACCTTAAGGGAAGGACCCAGAGGTTCACCGACCATAAGGATTGCAGGTCTTGCGGCCGAGGTGCACCCATAGGCCCGAGGATGCCTCTTGGCATCTCTGGGCTCTGATACCCTTTTAGGGCTTAGGGTTTATAGGGTTCTTTTTCCCCTCTCATAGGGTTTAGGGTTTATACAGGTATCTATAAAGGGTTTCGATAAGGTTTCTGGAAGGGTACCATAAGAGTTCCATGTGGGTAGTTCTCTAAATCAGGGTCCCTTTCCACGTCCCCCAAATAATACGGCACCGCTATCTAAAAAGGACCCTGGAAGGGACCCTAATGTTGAGAACTACCGATGTGGGCTCAAGCTTATAAGCTAAGGCAGCAAGGCCTAGGTTGGTTGTTTAAAGACTTGGTGGGTTAGAAGGGCTCAGCGTTAGAGAGACACTCGCTGTTTATGCGCTTTCGGTAGCAAGGCAGCTAGCGTTCCGTTTTGTTGCAGTCGGGTTTACACTTCCGCTTCCCACAATGAAAGATGCCTTGCGATGATAAACTCTCCGGCTCAGAATGCCAAGGAGGAGTGTACTGTACAAGCGCAGACAGCCTCATGATCCTGGGACCTACAAACCATGCTCGAGAGCTCGGGACCCCCTACACCGATCCCTCCTTTGCCAGGCTTCCAAGTTGCCGCTGCAGCAGCAGGGAGGGAGTGGGATGGAAGTGACCCGCTTCGCCTGCAAAGTAGGTTAACCACGCAGCACCGAATTCCTAAACCACATGTAAATTTTAAATCATGTCAATGTAAAACGATTATTGCTGCCTACGCACAGCAGTCACAGACGGCATCGGGGATGCACCCACAAACAGCCGGAGGACTCCATGCATTAAGATGGCTTCCGAGATCGTTTGACGGATATAGCTTAACATCAAACAATGAGACCGTGTCTAGACAACTACTGGGAGGCGGCTCTCTGTTGGGTCACAGTGTGTGTTGCGGCGTCTCATGGAGGTTCGTGAATATTTTGCATGGCACACCTACATTTCGGTTGCACATCAATGTAGGGTTTCCTTGAGAAGGGGCTTTTTGGATTTTGAGAAACTATTCGATTCAACACCGGAATCATTCCGATACGGTCCATGGCTCCTTCCGGTTAGTTTGCAACGGATCCGAGAAAACTACCGCAAATCCTGGAGGTTCAGGGCGGGCGACATAGGCCTTATGTTTTCTTTAAGAAGGGAGAAGGGAGGCCTTCATGATTGTTCGGACAGTCGTGCGCTTGGCAAACAGTTTCGCGAACAGTGACCAGTGTCTTTTCTGGCAGACGATCAGAAGCCTTCTAGTAAATACCTTCTATGTTCTCGAGCTTTTTGCATCTTAAATATATATATATATATATGTGTGTGTTTTCTGGGTGTGCTTTATTTTTCTATGTGTTCTACTTGTTCTGTATGGATGTGTTTATAACCTAGTTGTTGACTCTGCGGTTTGCCGGGGTTCTTCTGCCTGAGCTTCTGTTTGCCTTACCTAGTGGCATTTTGGTAGTGTATAGTTCGCAGGTGTGCTTTAGTTCCTGTATCGCTGCAATTGTCAGGGTATGCCTTGGATTGGCTAGTCTGAACGCTGCAACACTCGCAATACTGTGGGTATTTTTTGACATGTTATTGAACACTTGTTGACGGGTCTTAGAAGTGTTTAGAATGTCTTCGGCAATTTGCTCTTTGTTTGTGTTTTCGACTTGTCCTGGCATCTTTATATGTTTTCAAGGTTTGACATGTTTCCATTTCCCTATGTTGTCTATCGTTTCCCAACATTTCGCAATGTCGCCCTGTATGTTGCGGCAACTCCCGAAGCCAGCATCATCTAAAAGGCTACCTTCACCACAGGCATACTGCACACCATACCTCCTCGGCTCCATCGCTGGTTCAAAGTTGAAACCCGGCTGACTACCCACCAAGAGACGCCCCCATGTCACATGTCGCATAGATCTGCGTTTACCACAAACATTGGTAACATCTTTGCTGCCCACATTATTTAAACCCAATTTAAAGAAATACAAATCACGAGCCTCCTCCCCAAAGAATCTGCAGAAGCTCGAAAAGCTGGCCATTCTTTAAGTCCCTGCAAGAACTTAAGCAACATGTACTCCTTCAGAGCCTGAGCGATATCAACCCTGAATCATCTACACCATAAGACTCAAAATTCTACACCCCTTCTGTTCGTCTGAGTTAGGGCCCCTATATCCTAAACCTCCAGGCATGACGTGCGAAAGCCTACTCAGCGGCGAAGGAGGAACTCCCTATGGCTCAGGATCTAGGGCCTAGGGTTTTAGGCATACGACTTGCGGCTAAAGGAATATGACAAGGGCAATCAACTGTAATCATAAGGCTCTCTGTCCGGAGTCCGGATGTAGGATCTGTGTAGCGACTCCAGAACCCTCCAGGGCCCATCATTCCAACCCTAAACCATCGGCCAGCTGTTTTTTTTTGTTCAGCTTCTGGCTGGTAAGGCAGCGAGGATTGCGTTCACTTCACACTGAAGCCTCGGCTTCGGCTCAGACTGGACCCTCTATGGATCCCTCGCTCCGCGCGGGCGTTGATGATTGGAATGGCATGGGGTTTTGGCGTATGAGATGGTATGTACATATATATATATGTCAAATTCATATTGTTTATTTATTTATACTTATTTAAATGTTTACATTGACTATACGGAGCGAGATATCCCTATTATTTACGAACGTCATACCTCGGTTTTAAGTTTTGTGTTGGAGACCGCGGTGCAAACCTACAGCATCACTTCCCGCGCTTTTGTGCATGGAGCATCTAATTCGAAATGATTGGTTATGGTTGGGAAGCTGTGGACAGATTGAAGCCGAGCGGCTGCGTGAAGACATTGTAGGTGTCCACACCTCGCATCACATGTGACATGCGAGTTCTGACATGCGTGCCCCTGCAACTGCCAGAAAACATTGCATCTCAAAATTCATGTGAATGTGAACTGCAGCTGCAGGACGCTCAGCAAGTCTCCGTCGGAATCTGAGACACTGATCGTCGCCTGGCCAAGGGGATTTATCAGAAAAGCATATGACCCGCGCCTGTACTCGAGGGCTTAAGTCTACTTTGAAAGATTATGGGAGTTAGTATGTAAGGCTATAAGTACCTTAAGTGGGGTTATAAGCTTTGTGTGACTAACCCAAGTTACTACGTCCCATGATGATTCATGTAGTCCAATCGAAGAACTGGCCAACTGGTTCGTTATTTGGACAATTTGCTGAGCTGCACAGGCAGGGGAAGGGAAGAAGGCGTGCCAACAAAAAAATCAGTTCAATCACATCAATCCGCACTGCCACATCATGGGCTGGATAAGCGCAAGCATATGTAGCTTAGTCTTTTTGTACCGTGTTTGGGCCGTTTTGGGCCGTTGGACCCCTACACAACCATCGTATAGAAGTATAGAGACTCAATATAGAGAGAGGGTCACGAGCTTCAAGCTTAGCGAACTGTCGGATGCAGGGCACACGAAAAGTGCGGTAGGAGCCAGTCATACGCTCTTCGAAAACTATACGGCTCCGAAGCAGGACAAACACTACTAAACTCCTAAACCCCTTGGAAGCCTCCCCTCTTATGTATGTATGTATATATATATATAGATAGATAGATAGATAGATAGATAGATGGATAGATAGACTCGAAACTGTAGCCAGCATGGCCGAAGAGGTCGCATGCTCCGCTGTGTGGCTCCGTGAGACCGGCGCAGAAGGCTGCCTTTGAGGAGGTCTCGAGATATGTCGGCGGAACTACAGGAGCTTAGGATGAATCAACGGGTTGCTACAAGGTTCCTTTCGGGGTTCGGGTTTATATGGGTAGAATACAAGAGTCAGCTTTAGGATGCAGGGTTCAAGAGTTAGCTGCGAGAATTAGGACGGAAGGTTGGGAAAGTTTATTTACAACCTGATACCGTCGAAGAGGTACTCGGTATTGCGCTCAGATATGCAAGAAGCCCACAAGCTGGTTATGAAGCACGCAGGTGCACGTAAGCCCTCTGCTGTCCCGATGCTCTCTCTTTTTCTATCTTCCGCTCTCGTTCCGGACCTCTGCCCCAAACGGTTTAGGGTTTAGGGTATATACATCCCAAAATTTTAAGCCCAACACTCAGAAGATGGCACAAGCCTAATCCACCCTAGACGCCCTAAGCCCTACTCCTACACCCTGACGCCCGCAACTCCCAAACTGCACAGCGAAGAAGATTGTTTTCCAGAGTGCCTTGGTCTGTGATGCAGCCTGTCGCAGACCAGAACTCTGGCCCAAAGCAAGGTCTGGACAGTGGCGCAGGCTGCCTGTCCATGAATGGAACTCAAGGTGTAAGGATTCGGGCTTGCAAGGTTTTTTGTTGAAGCTTTGCCGGCTGATTAGGGTGATATACATGGGTATAGGTCAGGTGCATGTTTCCGGTCACATGTCAAATGTACTGCAAGTAGTTAGTTGCTGCCTTATGCATGTACACATGTGCTTATGGACCTGGCAGCCCTGCGACAAAAAACACACATGTCACCTCTTCCCCGTCCCTGAGCCGTGAAAACACATCATGCAAACACTGAGATATTTATATGAACCACAAAACACCTACAAACACATCAAGTATGAACATGTAAATCAGGCCAGGGGCGAACCTAAACAACAAATCAACGATAACTCATCAAACAAAAAACGAAAACCTCCAGAGGCTCGGTTTCGTTTGTAGGGTTCCTCGTCTCTGTTACGGAGTCTTTTGGTTCTGACAGTTCCCAGATGCTTCCCAGCGGCGGTTCATGACTTTCAGCGCCTCGTGTCGGGACAGCACCTCAGCTGGGGCATGTACGGTGCTCCCTAAAGCCTAAACCGGTGCTGGGCTTGGAGGCAAAAGATTTGCTCCAAGACGCCTGAACTGAAGGGAGCTTCTCGGGGACCTTTCCAAGAAACTCGTCGCATATCCTTAAAGAATGAAGGAGGGGAATGCGAATTCCTAAGCCCCTTGGAGTGGCAGCGCACAAATTAACTAAACTCCCAGCACGCAGGCAAAGTGACGTGCTGCTGATAGCATCGCACATTCTTCAGAAAGACAATCTGCATTTTAATAATATGCACTGCTTTGTTGACATGCCCTAAACCTCAGCCGATCCGATCCAAGAATCTCCTGTCTGCTCTCTGCGTCGAAATTTCCTGTGGCCAGCACCCGCTTGGCATTGGTGGGCCTCATGCTGAAGCGATTTTGCGCGTTCTTCTCCTGGCACACCAACCGATCGAATTCCGCTTGGTCTGTATGTCACTGTATGTGTCTGTGTGTGCATGGGTGTCTGACACCGTTATATCTCCCCCTCTCTCCTTAAATCACCAGGTTATGGTCAACGGGCGGAGTATCGGACTTCCAACAAGCTGCATCCATGTAGAGCCAACCATGTGCATGGTGCTCCGCTTCTTGTTCAGATATAACAGTTAGGGATTACGGAGCGAACCCCTCACAAAGTATTAAGGCCAGACACACACACACACAACCTACATGCGGCATCATTTGCTAGACCACCGCCCTTTGCACGAAACCTGACCTGTAACTGGAAGAAAGCAGTAATTCAGCAACTTCTCATACTCATATCGAGGACAACTTTGCACATTCCTCGTCCAGCCATGCCGCACACATGCTTTTCTCTTCTGCATGCAAGGCAGTTTGATTTTGGATCAGGTTCCATCATACTCAGAAAACAAACGCAATTCTGGCCCAGTTTCAAGCCGCGAACAGATTTCAGAGGTGCCTTGGCCTACCTGGATTATGACAGAAATACGAGCCTATAGCCGCAGCCTATTGGTCCTATTGGTGTTTGGACTTGACCTCCCACCTTCGGTTTAGGCAATCGTAAGCCTCTCTGTTTCCTAGCCTGCGTTCCGAATTATCTAGCCTGTTTTTCCGAGAACTAGTTAAGTTAGGAAACCCGAAACCCTAAACCCCTAAACCCCTGAACCCCTAAACCCCTAAACCCTAAGCCCCTCAACCCCTGAACCCCTGAAGCCCTAAACCCTCAACCCTAAACCCCTAAAGCCCTAAACCCCTGAAGCCCTAAACCCTAAACCCCCAAACCCTAAACCCGCAAACGCCCAACGGCAGGGCTCCTGCAATGCAATGTTTGCCCGTATCACGGCCAAGAGCGACTCTTCCAATTCTGGGTCCTCCCGCCATCTCACGGAATCACGGGCATTTATCGGGTTCCACGGGGTTTAAGGGGGCTTGGGGAGTGGAGGATTTAGACAAGCTTGGTGTTAAGGTTTAGGGGGCTCGGAGGTTTCACTCGCCACTGCGACAAGCCGGGTGAGGTTCCTGGTACGACGAAGCTGTTTCGCTAAAGCGAGGCAGGCACGTTCACCTGACCTCACACTGTCGAAGAAGAACAATCCCTGTCCAAGGCTTAGGGGTTTAAGCGGGGGTTGAGGATGCTTTGGGTGTAGGGTTTAGGGATTCGGGAGTTGGGGCTTTAGAGCCAAGTTGATGGCACGATCGTGAGCCATCATTGTGATACCCAGCATCTTCGTCCCTAACAGCTGGTTGCCGACTGCCCGAGTCCAACGTTACAGGGTTTAGGGTTTAGGGCACACACGCCAAGATCTCAAAGGCTACCGACCCGGCTCCCAACATTAACCCCAAAGTCTAGACAACAACAAGCGACCCCACATGCCGACGAGGCCTGAATGACTAGTAACCATGTAGCCCTTAAGAACCATGGTTTAGGGTTTCTGAACAGGCCCCTATACCTCAAATAAATACCCGAAAGCCACAATGATCTCAAGAGGCTCGTTTCGCTGTCCTCAGCAAGCGATCCTTGAGAAGGAAATGCACGTGCCGCCTGCCAGGGAGACCAAACCGAAGCTCGAAAAGAGCAATTCAGCGAGGCTTGGCTGACAAATGAAACTTCCATGATCCATGGCTTCACTGGCTTCCGAGCCCTTGCTTCACAGCCTGGCAGCTCGTATAGCGCTTGGTTTTTATGTGGCAGCATGCTCCAGAAACGTAGCTAGAATCCTGAGCCCCTCTGCGCTTTCAAACCTGCGCCATGATTCCGAATCAACCGCAAAACGTCATAACAGCAACTCCATCACCCCTATGTTTTGCAGCCTGGATCTATTGCAGAATACCCTCAGGCTATTCACATTTTGCATCATGCCCGATCACGACGAACCCCACTATGATGAGTGTGAATCTGTCGGTTTAGAGGGACAACTCAGTGGTGAGTTGATTTTGCATCGTGATGGCAACGGATGTCGAAAGAGCAAACATGAACATATGTTGACAGGTCAAAACTGATGGGCGATCTCGAGGGCGACAAAGAAGAGGAAAGAAAAGAGGTATGCGGATGACAGACATAAGGACGATTATCTGCGAAATGCTGTTGCTGCGGATGGATGTGTAACAGCTAATATTGCTGCTGGCGGCTGCGACGCAGAAAACGGCGCTGTTCTGACGATGCAATCAGTGCAGGTGATGATGAAGAAGACCAGGAAAGAAATGTAAAAAATATTGTGCCATGCAAAACGTTGCTGTTGGTATTTGCAGCCACCATGGTGCAAACGATGGCACGTGCCGTTGCGTCTGTCTCTCAATTTCAAACTGGAGTCCACAAAGAAGTAACACCCTCATAGAACCCTGAGTAGAAGGTTCCTTGAAGAGCTACCTCCAGGTCCAAGAAGCCGTCAACATGTCGCCGTAGTCTTGCCTTCCGAAGACCGTCGCGGCTGAGCCCTGCTGTCCAGAGGTTCTTGGCCGCCGCGAGCTCCTGGTCCAGAAGAGCACACGGGCTTTGGTGACGGTACATTACATTACATGACATTAGTCTAGAATATTCTCAAACTATTTATACTGTACTGTCAACTCTTGATTCATAATCCCCCCCCCCCCCC